GAAAATTCTGTAATGGCAATTCGTTGTCGTGCAGTTGGCAGATAAGCCATTGCAGTGGCCTATTAATCTCTTTTCCATCCTTGAAATTATACCATTTTTTCTTCCCGTGTTTGAATTTGTCCCATCACATCCCACAGCAACCAAACTGTCAAGTGGATAATTTTCATTTATAAGGAATGATAACATGGTGCTCTCAATATCTTCAGCAGTTCCGGTCGGTGGAGTCACATGGCCGAGGTAAGCGGATCCAGGTTCTTGTACTAGAGTAATCTACTTTAACTTTACGGTATAATTTTTGTCCTTTTTTTACAAAATACATAGTTTTGTCTTTACGCCCATCGAAAAACAAAGCTTCAATGTCTGTAAATTTGCGATTTCTCAATAACTTATTTCTTCTTCGAATTCTGTCGCGTCTCAATTTAGAGTGATCTATGACATATGAAGATTTATTTTTTGAAATCGAATTTACATCTTGAAGAGCTGCCGACGCAATGACAGCTCCTGCTCTGTGTGACACCCCATAACGGTCGCAAGTTTCGGATAATTTCTCGAAAATCAGTGGGGTTAATTTCTTCTTTTTTTGATATTCGGAGAAGGTCAAACATGTTGGCGTTGGCTCATAATATTCTTCGTCTTTCGTTAAAATTTCCGATTCATCTGTAGAACTCTCTGAAAGCTGTCTTGAAGTAGAAGGTACCGGTTCTGTATTTATAACCTCAGTTTGAGTCTTTCTATTTTTCTGCGCAACTTCTGTGTAGTTTTCTGATCAACATTTCCTATAATCATTCGTCTTAGACTACGCTGATCTTTCAGAAAAGTGCGCTCTTGATTTGGAACTGACTTCAGTTTACCACATTTGCAGGTGTCATAATTCGAACATTTACATGCAGCTACGTCAAAAAGTTGTGTACTTTTTGCAAGAAAGTTGTTAGTTGTATTTATGTATGACTAGCTCTTATTATGCTTATTAAAGTTTTTTAATAATTGTCTGTACTCAGCAAAGTATTTTAAAATAAGCTGTCTCACTCTTGTACTGGAAACTGTGGGAATTGATGATTTTTGCCATATTCCAACCACTTTTTTGGCCACCCTTAAAGAAATCTCTTTTGCAGCTGTTTCTTGCATATTAGACTGCTTCATTTCATGTCGCAACCACTCATAGTAACTAATTACGTCTTCGTAAGTAGGCAAAGCAATACACTTCATTTCCTCGGGATATTTATCAAAAATACGTAATTTAGAAGTAAGCCTTAAGTTTCGGTTAAATGCCATTGTGATTCGAAGACAAGTTAGTGAAAAGCTGATATAATAAATCGCAAATATTTACGTAAACTAATGGGAAAGCGATTTAAAATAAAATAGACTTAAATAGATGAGGCGGTGCAATCAACTGATGTCACGAGAAGACGATCTTAAACTAACGCATGTGCGATCGTTTACGGTGGGAAATAGAGGGGTGCGGTGTAAGGTGGGAGGGAGAGATGGAACCATAGTGTAGCGTGGATGACTAATTTATCAAAAATTAAAAACATACGTTTATTTTTTTAATGTTTTAAGTAATTAAAATCAACATTAATTTTTTAACAATAAAATATGGTATATTAACTTTATTCTTATATCTCACGTTATTATTTTGCCTAGCTGTGAAAAGTTCTTTGTTAGCTTTTTAACGTATTAGAAAGATTATGCCAAATTTGATAAGATATAATTTAAAAAATATTAGAAAAACAAGTAGAAATCATAAAGTTTCAATCTTAATAAATGTACTTTTTTGTTTGTTTGTTTTTTTAACTTCAAGGACTTTTAGCGAGCCAAAGACATTCATATATTTATTTATTATGAACGGATATCGCAATTTTATTGCAGAACGCAACTTTTGAGCCCTATTACGAGCAAAAATTCAAAAGTTAGAAAAAATGACACACCCTACCCAATACCCTTCAAGAGCTGGCAATAATGGTTCAAGAAGAATGGGAGAGCATTCCTCAAAATTTAATAGACCAGCTAATAGAGTCGATGCCCAGAAGATGTGCTGAGGTTCTAAGAGATAGAGGAGGACATACCCATTATTAAACATATTTTTTTGCTTAATTTTGTAAAAATAAAAAAGTTCAAAATCTGTTTATTTTTTATTCATCTCTAAAATTAATTGTATTATTTTTTTTATATATCGTGTATACATTTATTTTGAAGGTTATGCTGATTTAATTAAGTGCTCCCTATTTCGTTGTGAGTAGTTTAGTTTGTAGTGAAATTGAAAAATTTAAGATAAATTGAATATATTTTAAAATAAAATCACTCAAATATTTGATTCAGGAGTTGTGACACGCCAAGGTACTGATGTTTTGAATATTTATTATGTTTTTCTACAAACGTGCTCTTGAAAAAATACATTAAAATTGAGTGGACAAGTTAAAAACCTGGATCTTTTGTAATATACTAAAATATTTACAAAAAATTTTAAAATACCTACTCTACTGACTGATGATATCAAGTTGTCCAACTTTTGTAGAATCACCCATATAACTAAATCAGATGAGAGCAAATTTAAAATACACTGCTCCAAGAAATTAACGCACCACTAATAAATTTGAAATTATTTTAGTTTTAAAATGTAATAAACGAATTAAACTCTTTACTTCAATAGCTTTTATTAAATTTCTTACGAATTAAACACTTTCTAAAAATGTATTTCTAAAATTAGGCAAACAATATTTAAAAAAATATAAAAGAATGAAAATTCGGATTTTTTTTTAATGAAATATATTAATCGTACTTAATAACAGGTATTTTCACCTTTGCTTCTAATCGTGTCCTGGCAGCGACGATTCATACTTAAAATAAGACTTCGTATGATGTTTTGATCCAATCCATTCCAAATTTCAACCAGAAGTCGGCCCACATCCTTCAAGTTGTTAGTTCGGTTTGGATGAGCACGTAATTGTCTTCCTAGTATATCCCGGACATGCTCTATAGGATTAAGGTCGGGGCTTCGTGCTGGCCAAGCCATAGTTTGAATGCCAACTTCCAAAAGATAATCTCGAACTACTCGGACTGTGTAAGGTCGAGCATTATCTTGCATAAGCAAAAAATGTTGACCGATATAAGGGGCAAATGGCACAACATGTTCCTCAAGAATATTTAATATTTAGCTATCAGCATTTATATTGCCATTATTCAACCGTTAACGAAATTCCTCCCCACACCATAACTGAACCTCCGCCGAATAAAGTGGTATTTGTTATGTTACACTATGCGTATCATTCATTTGGCCTTCTAAAAACACGAACCCGTCTATCACAAGTATGCAGGCAAAATCTGGTCTCATCTGTCCAAAGAACTCGTTCCAATTCAGCTTCCCCCCTGTTGACGTGCTCTACGGTGATCCACGGTTAAGGCTGGCCCACGGGCAGCAATGCAAGGGCGCAAATAATCTTTTCGAAGTCTTTGTCGAATGGTTTCTAAACTTACTTGAATACCATGTGAGTTTTGAAGCTGAGATTGTAACAAATTGTCACAAATCGTTGCCTTAGAGCGGAATGTCCTAAAAAACGATCTTGGCCAGGGGTCGTGATGCGATTTCTACCTTGTCCAGCTCTTCTACTATGCACACCAGTTTCCCTGAATCGTTCAACCATACGTAAAATGGATGTATGGAATAAACCAAATCTGTTTCCTATTCGGCGATAGCTCCAACCTTCTTCCTGCAATACAAATTTAATGGGCAAAAATAAACAACTAACCGCATTAAAAGTCAATTTATATTATAAGAAATATTACGACTGCAGAAAAAAATTCCATAACGAAACAAAAAAAACACAAATAGAAACGTGGTTTATTATTAAAATAAACAATATACAAGGGTCTTCAAAAATTTAATGAAATATTGAAATGTTTGTTTAAAATAGCAATGTATTGGGTAAACATATTTCAAAAAAACCATTAACCAATGAATATTATTATATTATGTACACTCCACTAACAGTTAAAATTCAAAATTTACGAATGCTTCAACTGTATGATGTTCTGTTTGACAAACCCAAAATTAATTTATTTATTTAATACATCATCTAACAGTCCTTGGACCAATGACAAGATGAGAAAATTTAAACAAGTATTACATATAAAGCCTTATACATATAAATTCATATAAAATATACATAACAAAGTTAAGACACAAAAAAAAACTTTAAATATCAAATATATGGTAAAGCAAAAACACAATAATATTATAAGGAAAGATAAATAAATTAGGTATTTATAGTAATACTCCTTATTATTTGAACATTACATGAAAAAATATTAAATCTGTCTTGCAAATAATTGTACTTTCCACACATGAAGTATAGGGGTGAAAAATTTAATATGTTTGTTTTAGGTGATGGCAGGTAAAATGTAAAATTATTTCTATTATTAATCTTAAAATTCTTTTTTTGAATCACAAAAACCTGACTTACTTCTGAGCTACCTCCCCAGAAAATAATTCCATAGCTTAGAATAGAGTAAATTTAAGTAATATAACATTTTTAAGATACTTACATTTACATAATTTCGCAAGACTCTAAAACTAAACACAACTTATTCAATTTATCACAAGTATACTGAATGGGTTTATCCCATTTTACAAATTCATTTACATATAAATAGACCAAGGTACAGACCGCACCAAGGTACAACCCTCTCCCCTAATTTTAAATCTACCTGGAGATAATTCAAAATTTATAGCACAAAGCTTCAGTATTGTGTGGCAAAAATAATCAGCAAGAAAAAATTTCCTCATGCTCACGTTGTTTTTTGTTAATGCACACCAAATTTAATTTAATTATGGAGCTAACCACCCAATATAACAAAAACGTCAAAATATTCTTTGCAAATGTTTGGGCATTTTCAACTTTTTTTCCCGATCCACAAAAGCGGTGCTGGACCTAGTTGTTAAACAGAGGTTAACACGCGCCTTGGTTATGAGATGAAACAAATTGTCCAAATCAGACAGAGTTTTAATGATAGAGTGTGACAAAAAAGCAGACCCTCCTGACAAAATACAAAAAACTTTCGCTGGAGATAAACGAAGTGTGGTTGCAAAAGACGTATGTGACACAATTTTAGTTCAAATCAAAGACCGTTTCGATTTTAAATATCATTTAAGTGCATTTAAGTGCATCCACTATTTGATGCAAAAAAAAATTAAATTTTATTGGCGGTCACAAAATCAGTTTGACTCAACTGTAAAATCACAACCTATGTTAGACAGTATACATACAATTCTGTCCTCCCAGACTCGTCCACCCCCCCTGACGCACAGTTCGTGCAAGGGGTCATTCCCTACACTGGCCCGACTAAGAGGCCACATATTCTCCAGAAAATGCAAGGACCGAACAAAGTGCAGATACTGCGGGAAGAGGTACGACGAGTACAAAAAGATTAGGCATCACGATAAGAGATCCCATCCAGTCGAATGTGCAAAAGAGGACGAGACATGCCAGAACAGGTTCGAATCAGAATACCTCGAAATCCTGTCCTCAATTGAATTACGCGCCTTAAAGGGCATCATGTCCCTTAAGGATATTGAAGCAGCCACCGGAAGGATTTAAGGGCATCTCTCCTAAGGCCTGGCTCCATATTTCCAGAGTAAAAATTTGAGTAACAAACGATATGATCGTAAGTCACATAAAAAATAAGTTAAGTTTAAATGAAGAGGACATAGTGGTAAAACAAATCCAGGAAACTGATAAACAAAAATGCTTTATGATAGGGGTACCATTTGTCAACATAGACGATGTTTACAAAACCGATTTTTGGCCAAATGGTGTTGGATACAAGCGCTTTAGTTTTAACTATAACAATAAGGGAACTCAAAATATAGAAAAACAATCAAATACTTTTTTAGGAGTAAAGTAAATAAAGAATTTAGACTTATGCACTTAAATATCTGTTCTATTAGAAACAAAATTACTGAGTTGGAGTCTTTTTTGGCCAACAAAGAAGCTAGGTATGATGTACTATGCTTTACTGAACATTTTTTAAATGAAGATGAATGCAGCAGTGTGTCTATTGATGGTTACTACTGTGCCTCTTTTTTTGCAAGAAAAAATCACATTCATGGTGGTTCTATAGTGTTTTGCAAACAGTACATATCAAGTGTTCCAATAAACCAGTTAAACATTCTTTCTGTTGAAATGCATTGTGAAATAACAGCGGTTAAACTAAAAAATCTAAGCTGCATAATTGTGGTTGTCTATAGACCCCCCAGTGGAGATTTTAACCTATTTGTGGAGACATTTACAATCATTCTAGACTATTTACTACACAGAAACATCAATGTGATAATATGTGGGGATTTTAATCTGAATTTTAATAACAAAGACAATAAATGTGAATTATTTAGTGAACTTGTACAAACTTACGGTTTTTTTCAGACAATTTTTGATAATACCAGAAAGGGAGCATGTTTAGATAATATCTTTTTAAATTTTAATGAAACAAATTTTAGTGTTTTTAATCCAAATTTGTCAGATCACTGTGCTGTTACTGTGGATACTGTTCTGGAAACTCGAAAAGATACTATAAAACAAATAGCATATAGACCTTTTACTGATCAGGGTATTTTTAATTTTTACCATATTCTGTTAAATGAAAATTGGAACTTTTTAGGTGAGTATTGTGATATAAATGTTAAATTTAATATTTTTATAAATTATTTTATTAATATAATGAAGGTGGCATTCCCAGAGCAATCAAGAACTATAAAAAAGTCTAAAAAAATAATGTGGTTTACTGAAAAAATAAAAAACATGAGAAATCATTTAAAATTTCTAGTTGAATTCCACGACAACTATAGGCTACCTGAAGTTGCAACTTACATTAAAACATTTAGAACCAAATATAGAAACGAAATAGGGAATGCAAAAATTCAAGCAAACTCTACATATATTATGAAGGCAGATAATAAAATCAAGGCATCCTGGGAGGTATTAAACTCTGTAAGAAGAAAAACTGTGGCTGAAGATTTGGAAACAAACTTAAAAGCAGATGATATTAATGACTTTTTTCTAAGTATTGGGGAAGGCGTTGTTGGCATGCAAAATCAGGGTATTATTGATGCTGGAGTATATCTTCAAAACTTTAACAGAGGGGTTTCTGCAGAGGATGGTTTTTGCTTCAGAGAGGTCACCCTTAGAATAGAATAGAATATTTATTTCATCAATCAAAAGTTACATGAAATGTCACACAAAACAAGAAGTTTAAATTTAATACAAATATAAAATTTAATATACGACAATAATAAATATAAATAAATATGTAAAAAATAAATAAATAAGAAACTAACATTTTGTACAAATAGGTAATTCTAAAAATTCTGTAATTGAATAAAATGAATTGTTTAATAAATATGTTTTCAATAGTGTAAGAAGTCTTCTTTCTGGCTGCTGGCTCCAGGAAATTGGTAAATGGTTAAATAGTTTCGCTCCCCAGTAGTCCACGCCTTGCTGGGTTCTCTTTTTTAAATGAAGTGGTATTTGTAATTTATTTTTGTTTCTGGTGTTTATTTGGTGTTGGCCAACTTGTGCAAATATTTGCATATTATTTTTTACATACTTTACACATTCAAAAATATAGAGTGACGGTAAGGTAAGAATATTTTCTTTCTTAAAGTATTCTTTACAGCTTTCGGTTTGTTTAAGGTTGCATAGAGCCCTAAGAGCTCTTTTCTGTAATTTAAATAGGTTGGTAGCTGCTGATGATTGGCCCCATAACAAAATACCATAGGACAGGATGCTATGACAATTTGCGTAGTAAGCTGCTTTTGCTATTTGTGATGTACCAATTTTTCTCATCATGTGTATTGTAAATATTGCTTTGGAGACTTTTTTTTCTATCATTTCTATATGTGCAGTCCAGTTAAGTTTATTGTCTATTACTATGCCTAAGAATTTAAGGTTATCATTTACATTTTCTCCAATACTAAGTATTTGGGTTTTATCTTTGTTAATTTGAAGTTTGTTTGAGGTAAACCAGTTTGTACTTTTATTAAGTATATTGTGTTCATTGTCTTTTAGGTCAGCATAAGTAGTATTGCGAATCAGATAGGTGGTATCGTCTGCGTATAGGTAAGTACTAACATTTTCATCTTTAAATAGTAAATCGTTAATGTAGATTATAAATAGGATTAAACCAAGTATTGAACCTTGTGGGACTCCATGTTTTAATGTAAGTTTATTTGATGTTTTATTATTCCAATATACGAGTTGATTTCGATTTTCAAGATAACTTTTTATTAGTTTTAATTGGTTTCCTCTAATTCCATAATACTCCAGTTTATCAAGTAAGATTTCATGATTAACCGAGTCAAAAGCCTTAGATAGATCGCATGATATTAACTCAATTTTTTTGTTTTCATCATCCGCTTGGTATAGCTCCTGTAACATATCAATTATAGCTGAAATCGTACTTCTTTTCTTTCTAAAGCCATATTGTTGATGTCCAAGAATATAATATTTTTCCATAAAGCTTACCAATCTAGCCTTTATAACATTTTCAAAAATTTTTGAAAATGCCGGTAGTATTGATATAGGTCTATAATTTGTTGGCTCATTTTTATCACCTTTTTTAAAAACTGGTATAACTTTGGCCTCTTTTAGAAGTTCTGGAAAATGTCCTTCCATTAAGCTTTTGTTTAATATTTCGGTAAGTGGAATAGCCACCTCGTCTGATAAGTTTTTTATAAAAAAGGTTGTCATGTCATAAATATCTTTTGTATGTGTTGTTTTTATTGTTTTGGTTATAGTTGAGACTTCTTTGTAGGTTACTGGTTCGAAAAAACACGTATGTGGGCATCTATGGGTATATTTCTTTAATTGGATTAATGCTTGATTTGTGTCTTTTGGCATATTTTTTATTATGTTTTCTCCAACATTTGAGAAGAACACATTAAAAGTATTGGCACTTATCATGGATTCTGGTTTGACTTTACTTAGGTGTTTTGTTTCATTGTTGATTATTTTCCATATCATTTTTGTTTTATTTTCTGAGTATAATATAAGGTTTTCATTTTTTTCCCTTCTAATTTCATTAATTCTGTTAATATAAATATGTTTGTATTGTTTGTAGGCATTAAACGCTTCTTGTGTCTTTTGTACTTTAAATATTGTGTGTAGTGCATTAAGAATGTTGTGTTTTTATTGAGGTAAGAAATGCAATTGAGAATTTAAAAAACAAAAACAGTAAGGATTTTTATGAAATAAACTTACTTCTTATCAAGAGAGTCAAAAATTGTCTAATATCAGTACTAACTAAACTGTTTAATGAATGTCTGTCTCAAGGTATATTTCCCGATTGTTTGAAGATCTCCAAAGTTATACCGATCTTTAAAAAAGGAGATATGGATGACCCAAGTAATTATAGACCGATATCATTGTTACCGGTATTCTCCAAAATTTTTGAGTATCTGTTAAAAAATCAAATCCAAAACTATTTTGATTCCAAAAACTTATTGATTGATAATCAATATGGATTTAGGAAAGGCAAATCTACAACAGCAGCTTGTCTACAAATGATTGACAACATAATCGAGGGTCTTGAGGAGCGGCATTTTGTGGGAACACTCTTTTGCGATCTCTCCAAGGCCTTTGATTGTGTTTCACATGACATTCTGCTGAAAAAACTAAATTATTATGGTTTCAGTGATATTGGTCTACTTTTTATGGAAAGTTATCTAAAGGGTAGACGACAAATGACTTTTTATGGGGGTGAGGTGTCTGAGGTGAAGGCCATTGAATGTGGGATCACTACTAGGTCCATTGCTATTTATAATTTACATAAATGATATACCAACAATCACACCAAATGCTCTGATTTTGTATGCAGATGATACCACCATAACAACTTCTTCAAGGAACTTAGTTGACGTAAGATCTAGTCTAAATATCGATATGCAAAATGCCAAAAGTTGGTTCACTGCCAACTGCTTAAATCTGAACGTCCAAAAAACCGAACAAGTTATTTTCTCGCTTAGAAGTCATCAGGATCTGGCTCTGTGTGAAGTTAAATTTCTAGAAATTAAAATTGATACAGAGTTAAGATTTGAAGCCCATGTCAATTTTATTTCCCCTAAAATATGCAAAAACATTTTCCTTTTAAAAATATTATACAATAATGTAAATACAGAACTGTGTAAAACAGCATATTATTCCCTAATACACTCAGTATGCACTTATTCAATATTAAGTTGGGGGCATAGTACTCATACAAATAGGGTATTTGGACTTCAGAGGAGAGCAGTTAGGATTTTGGCCAATGTTTCTTACAGAGCCGATGCCAAACAGGCATTTATAGACAATAATATACTTACTCTGCCATGTTGCTATATATTGGAATGCCTTATATATGCAAGAGTAAATCAGTATACATATAATACAAGAAGCCAACATCACAGCTATAACACAAGACATAATAATGATCTAAACATTGAATTTTTGCGTTTGAAAAGATCGTGGAATGCCACTCGTTACTATGTACCTACTTTTTACAATAAGTTACCTGACAGAATAAAAACTCTGAGTTTAAAATCTTTTAAACAAACTATTAAAACCTA